GGGAGTGATCCCCTTCTCCTCTCCCTGGAGGAATCCCCGGAAGAAAGAAGTGCTTGCTTCCCCAGGAAAGGCCTCTCTACCACTAATGCTTATTGGGCATAAATCAGAGGCTGGATTTCTGCCCGGATGTGGGGGGAGGGGCACTAAAGCTATACAGCTCACCCGGCATGACTGGCACTGCCCAGGCATGCATCCTGCCACAGAACCAGAAGGGAGGCACCAGCCTCTTCACCTGGGAAGGTCTGGCTGGGAGCCAAGGGATTCGGGCCCCTCTTCAGTCCCAGCTCCAGTGCCTCAGTTTCCCCATTTGAAAGTAAAAAGCAGAAGAGCTTTAGATTGCGTTTCAGGCAAAGCACAGAAGCTAGAGTTCCAATTGCTTCATTTACAAGTGGGGAAACTGAGGCCCAGAGAGTAGAAGTGACTTGTTCCAGATCACTCCAGCTGTAAATAGCTGAGCAGGTTTTCGTAAGATCATAGCTAATAATTCCAGAGCCAGAAGTATCCTCACAGGTCATTTAATCCACCTCCTGTTTTTTATAGGTGGGGATCATGGCCATCTAATTCGACCCTTTCATTTTACGATGGGGAAACTGAGGACAAGAGAGGCGATGTGATTTGCCCACACATCTTATGGGTAGTAAGTGGTCAGGATTTGAACCCAGATCCTTTGACGCTAAACCCTCACGGACGCTTTCCACAATACTAGCCTACACCTCTGGAATCAAATGCAGCTTTGACTAGCCCTGTGTTGTGGCTGTATGAGCAGCCCTCCTTCAGGCTGCAGGGAGACTGAGGCAGGGAAGGGGCCAGTGCGTCATTCACTACCATGAACGTAGTGTGGTGCGGTAAACGGAGCACTGGACTTGGGGGTCTGGAAGGAGCTGGATTCAGATCCTGCCCCAGTGCTAGCTGTATGACCCTGGGCAAGTTATCTGCCTTCTAGCCTTAGCTCCTTCACCTGTAAAATGGGTATCGTAACAGCACCTTCCTTACCTACTGTGAAAACCGAATGAGGTGACCTCCAGTCCTCTTCAAAACTGTTATCAAGCCCCACCTTCCCTCTTCTGTCCTTAGGAAGTTGATTGTTTGGACCCAAGGGTAAGACTTCACGTTCAGCTCTGTTAGATTCCACGTCACGAGGTTCAGCACCATGTCCTCACCTTTTGGGGTCTTGCTGAATGGCTGACCCTCTTCCTTCATGGTGTCTGCTGTCTCTCCCTCTTGGCATGGTGACCCTCAGGAAAGCGTAAGCTCCCTGAGGGCAGGGACTGGTTTGGTTTTGTCTTTGCGTCCCCCAGCCACTGACACATAGTAGGTGCTTCATAGATGCTTTTTGAATGTGCACATTTGACAACCAGGCTGTCTCTGCCTCATTCAGGTCTCTGATTACCCCCAGAAAGGGACCCCCTTCCTCCCTCCTCTGTCTCTGTCTCTCCTGGCCCCAACACTTTGCCTGCATTTCTCCTTTGCTCCTAGCGTGTCCTACTTTATCCTTTTGGTTTTTTTTTTGTGTTTTGGTGAGGCGACTGGGTGAAGTGACTTGCCCAGGGTCACACAGCTAGTAAGTGTGAAGTGTCTGAGGCTGGATTTGAACTCCTGACTCCAAGGCCAGAGCTCTCTTCACTGCGCCACCTAGCTGCCCCTCTCCTACTTTATCCGAGTAGACTGTAAGCTCCCAGAGGGCAGGCCTCTAGTCTTCATTGGTCTGTCTGCAGTACCAGTTATACAGACGGCATTTAATGAATGCTTTAGGCATCCTGGTCTCTGGCCTCAGGCTCCTAGCGCCTTCTCCCTGGGCAGGACAGCCTGGCATCACGATGTTAGGACTAGAGGAAGGAAGCTAAGTGGCCTTCTGAGCGAAGAGACTGGCGCCTGTTTGAGTTCAGAGATTTCCCTGGGTAAGGGCATTGCAAAGGCCCTGGACTGGGGGGCTTCATGAGGCTGGAGCCAGGGAGATCTGGGTTCAAGTCCTGTTTCTGAGGTGTCCTGGGTGTGTGGGCTCTGGGCTGGTCACTTAAGCTCCCCACACCCCAAGCATCTCTCAGGACTAGAAATCCAGCGGTGCTCACCTGCATCAGTAGAGGGGAGTTTCCCTATCTGGGAAACCTCCTATAGTGTGGAAATCACCGCTCCGCTTGCCCCGAAAAGCAAAAAGCTCTCAGGGGAATCAAGGCAGACATCCTGGAAGGGGCAGCCTTTGACCTTTAAGGGATGAGGAAGCATTCAGTGGGCAAAGAGAACGTCCCGGTCCTAAGCAGCACCCAGGTTACGCAGGTCAGGGTACAGGTATGGCTGTTTGGGTCCCCCTTCCTGACTTCCCTGGCCCAGGCCTTAGTCCCTGCCGGGGAAATAGAGGAAAAAAAGGAGGGAGAAATGAAATGAAGGTAACAACAGATAACAAAGGGCCGGGGGAGAGGAGGGAGCCAGGGAACCATGAAGGGAGAGAGCAGCCCCAAGGAACAGCTGCCATTGGGTAGCCTCTGTCCTGCCTCTCTCCCTGGGCCGAGGAGAGAGATCTGTCAGTGCCTCTAGCTCTCCAGCCTCAGCCCTGCCAGGCGGGATTTGCCTTTCTAATAAATAACAGGCAATAGCTGATCTGCAGGGCATCCTTCATGCTGGTGCCTAATAACACGGCTGTTAATGCCCTCGCAGATGGAGGCCCGCCGGGTGGCCTGACGGATGGGCCGGGGCCTGGCGCACTCATAAATGAAACCTCTTTCTTCAGGCTCAGGGGAGAGAAAGTGTGGCATCTTCCCTGCTTTTTAATGGATTGGGGTTTCCCTGCCCTGCCTGGGGACTGGCGGGGAGGTTCCACGGGGTTGATGTCTCGGAGTTAAGGGGGGGCCTCTTCCTCACAGGGGTGGGCAGCAGCATGACCCCAGGCAGTGCCCCAGGAAGTTTGAGAGGCTGCTGCCAGGACTTTCTTGATGGTAAAGTGTGCGCTACCTTTGCCCACATCTCACTGTGCTGTTGTGACCTAGCTTAGTACATAGAGCACTGGATTTGGACTTAGGAAAACCTGGGTTCAGATTCTGCTTCTGACACTTAATTAGCTGTGTGACCCTAGGCAAGTCCTTTAACTTCTTCCTGAGCCTCAGTTTCCTCATCTGTTAAATGGGACAGTACCCACCTCACAGAGTTGTTTAGAGGCTCTAATGATATCGCGCTTTGTATACCTTAAGCTACTATGTAAATGTTAACTGCTATCATTAATACGTTGTGATTATTTCTTGTTCTCATCCTTCTGTTTTCTTACTGTTATTATTATCAGCCATAGGCTCTAGGAGGGAGCTTAGAGAGTGTCTGCTCTGACTTCCTCTCTGGACATCTGGGGTAGAGCAGGAAGGGAAGTGGTTAGTGCCAAACCAGTGGTGTCCGAGGTCTCATCTGCACTACCTCCCACTCGCCTCTTTTTCCTTCGTTTTCCCCTGAGGCTGCAGAGCTTGGGGGACGGCTTGGTTTCTCTGCTTCCTCCTGCCTGGGTGGGAGGCCGTCCGTCCCCTCTGAACTCAGTTGAGCTATGTAACTAATGGGTATTGGGTGCCCCACCTCCTTAGAGCTGGAAGGGACCTTAGGAATCTCCTCGTTGAGTAGAGCAGGAAGTGGAAGTGACTTGTCCAAGACCACCCAGCCTCCAAGTGGCAGAGCTGAGGTTTGAATCCAGGGCTTCTGGGATTCTTCCCACTGGATCAGGGTCCTCTACCTTGAGCAGAGAGGCAGAGGATGGAGGAGGCGTCGCCTGCATCCTGGGAGAATGGAGGCTGGGGCCGGCTTCTTTGTCCTGGATCTGCCCTCTGGCCACCCGTGTCTGCCCTTCTCCTTCTTCAGGCTGCAGAGCCTGGCCAGGGTGGCACACCCCGGGGAACAGAGGGAGCGTTGGTCTTCTTTCCAGGTTGGAGGGTCTCTGAATTTAGGATGGGGATTGTTGGCCCCTTACAGAATCCACCCGGGAGGTACTGCCTCAGGGGCTCAGTCAGACCGCTGGACAGCCTTCTGTCGGCCAGCTCTGTTCTGCATGGCCGGCAGGCTGGAGAGAGGGGCAGCACGAAGAGGGAGCCTCCTGTGTGGCTTGGGATGCCTTTGTGAGTCTTCGAGGCAGGCCCGGGTGTCTGCCACGTTGGGATGGGGCCGGCCGCTGAAGGTTCAGGGATCGAGCCTAGCCTGGGGAGGCCTCGCGGCCATCCTACCCACTGGTTCCCAAGCCATTCCAAGCTAAGGATGCATTTGTAACATTAAAAAGTGAATCCTGCATTTCATGGCCTCCTGTGCCCTGGCACCCGTGATCTCAGTAGCCCTCATATTCTCTGAGAAGTCACCTGACTGTCTATGGACCCCCTGGCCCACCTGGGCAGGGGTCCTCAGGCCATGGGCCAGCAGTCACTGATCCAGGCCCATCCTGGTGTCTTCCAAATGAAGAAAGTGGCTCAGAGAGGGACTGAGATGGTCGTGACGTTCGAGGCCGTTGATTCGCTCCCCTCCCCCATCTTACAGACCTTACCTGCCCAAGGCCACCTGGAGAGCAGGAGGCAGAGCCGGGGTCCTACGCCAGGCTCCAGGCGTGCCTGAGCCCGGAGTGTTTACAGAACCTCCCAATCCATGATGAGGATTCAGAACGGGAAGGAACCTCAGAGAACATTCTAGGCCAACCCCTGATATTTTAAAGAGGAGGAAATGGGGACCCGGAGAACAGTAACGACCCAGGTCCCACAAGCCGGGATTTGAACCCGGGTCCTCGGAACCCAGATGCAGCTTCCTACCACTTTCTGCTTGTCTGACATGCGCCAGGGCCTCACTGCCCTTGTCTGGTCTAGACCAGGACCGAGCATAGAGCCAAGAAGAGAATCCTGGCGTTCACGCAGCTCACGAATGCCAAACGTGGACGCCAGAGGACCTGATTCTGCCTTAGACACTCACGGCTGTCACTGCTCGCCTTGGTTTTCTCATCAGTAGAATGGGGATGACCCCCCCCCCCATCTCCCAGCCCGCGGTCCCACTCTTACCTTCACTCTGGGAGAGGTGCTGTTGGGCCAGTTTCCCTGGGCGGTTTTCCCGTGTCAGGGGCGTCCCAATGCTGAATGTGCGCTCTGCTTCTCCTGCAGGCCGGCCCTGAGCCCAGGCTTCAGCCTGACTGGGGGATGCACCTAGGCTGGGACAGCCTGGCTGCAGAGCCCTCCCTTTTTCCGGGGCCTGGCCACAGAAAACGCTCCCTGAGGGAGGAAGCCCCGGTACCCCGCTCTCCTGCCTCTGTGGCCGCGTTAGGGCAACATCGCGAGGGCCTTCCGGGGCGCGGGGCGTGCTGGGGAATCCATCTGGGCTGAAGGTGTCTCCTGGAGGTGCTCTCCTCCCCGCCCCTTGCCCTCATTCCCTAGGGGCCGGCTCCCCTCCCGAAGCCTCCCTGAGGCGGGCAGGGGTCTTCAGCAGACTTCCTGCCGCCCACCTCTTCTGGGGAGGCGTGTGCAGATTTCTTCCTTTTCTTTCCAAAGTGGGTTTTTTTTTCCCTTTTCAGTCCCTTTAAAGTCACTTGGCAGCAGGGGCTTGGTGCAGGATCGGGGAGCGTTCTTGCATGACAGTGAGAGAGCTCACCCTGGCCCAGCGCAGCCTGGGCACAGCCAGCGCATCTGTATGCAAGGCTCAGGATGCGTCTCCCGGGAGAAGGAGGTGGTCCATTACACAGCTGTGGAGTTCAGATGTTAACCTCCCTCTCTCTGATCCGCTTGACATGTGACGCTAAGCTGTCAGGGCCCCGTCGCCCCCGTTCTGGAGAGGAGCCTGCCCGGGGCCTGGGCTGGGGGCTCGGCTCCGCTCCGCCGCTCCTGCTTAGGAGGAGGGCTCTCTCTGATGGAAGGCTGCAGCCGATCTTTCCCTGGGGCTCATCCCCCGCAGCATCTGGCCCCCAAAGGATGCCCTCGTCTTCCACGCTTTCCTGCTTCTTCGCCTGCCAAGAGAAGAGAGGAGGCACTGAGCCGGGGGATGCAGAGAGCTGCCCGTGGAGTAAACCCCATAAATTCCTCCCTGGTGGAGGACAGAGGTCAGGGGTCAGAGGATGCCCTGAGGGGGGCTGCATTTCACCCTCCTCCTCCTCCCCCTCTCCCTGTCTCCTCTGCCCTCCTCTTATTTTTACAAATTCGCTCCCGTAGACAGCTGTCTATACAAAGCCTTCCCCCGCTCTTCCCTCCTTCCTCATGAAAGAAGAGAAAAGGGTGGGAAGGACTCCAGGAGAGGGGAAAAGAAAACAGTGCAGAGCCCCCCCCCCCAGCCCCCACCTGGTGGGTCACATGTGAATTCCATCAGACACTGAAGTGAATGAGCAGAAAGTCCCGGCTTCCAGGGCGAGCCGGGGGGTCTGCGTGTGTGGGAAGCAGCAGGGCCTCTCAGGGCTGGAGATCCCTCGGCTTCGTGGCAGGCATCAGCTGAGACCCAGAGAAAGGCCGCGGCCCTGAGGGTGGGGGTATGAGAACTCCCAGGCCAGGAAACTCCCTTCACCAGTACAGGTTGCCACCTATCAGTCTTAGCTAGTCCCCTGGACACTGAGAGGCAAAATGACTAGTCCGGATCATCCCCATTTTCTAGAGAAGGAAACTGAGGCCCAGAGACTTTCTTAGGTCTACACCCTTAGGAAGCGCGCTTAGGCTTGGCATCTGTCATAGTCCTCACTCTCCTGAGGCCCTGAGTCTGCTTCTCCCGCACTCCAGGGGTCAGGGGCTCACCCTGGGTCAGAATCCAGTCCAAGCAGCATTCACTGGACACTTACTCTGTGCTGAAGCACCAAAAAATGAAACAGACCCTCCTGGGGCGGGTGGGGCAGGAGTGGGACCCCATCACTGTCTCACCTTGTGAAGCTATGTACATGGTCACATTCCATCCTTACAACAACCCTTTCAGTTAAGGTGTGGTTATTACTCCCATTTTATAGATGAGGAGACTGAGGCTTGAGTGTATGGGTACCTTGCTAGGAAGAGTCTGAGGCAGCATTTGAACTCGGGGCTTTCTGATTCCCAGCCCAGCACTGCACCACCTAGGTGCTTCCTAATGTTGGGATGTAAGAATACATGTGATGGCTTGAGGAAGGAGGGAGAGAGCAGGAGAAGAGTGGGGGGGGAGGGGGACTCGGTAAAGGTTTTCTATCTGAGTCAGCTCTCGAGGTGAGCTTTGAAGGAAGTTTGAGGCACAGGGGAGGATGGTGTGCCTTCCAGGCATGGGGGAATAGCCTTTTCAAAGGCACAGAGGTGGGAGATGGAAATGCTTAGGTTCTGTTTGGCTGCTGAGGTCAGAGCCAGGTGCAGAAAAGGGGAGCTGCAGAGAGGCCGGGTTAAGAAGACCTATAGTGAGTGCCTCGAGGAGTCTGTCTCGGAGGTAGTGAGGTCCCCATCGCTGAAGGTCTTCGAGCAGACTTTGGCTGCCGTTGGCTGGGTTGATGTAGAAGGGGTTCTTGCTCAGGCTGGTGCTGGCCTGGCCCGCGAGCTCCCTTTCCTCTGCGAGGTTCCGTCATCCTCTGTCCTCCCACGATCTCCCATCTTTCCTTCCCCCACAAAGCTTTGCGGCACCGTGGACCTTTTCCTTGGATCTAAAAACGGCTTACACCGAGCAGCCTCCTAGCCCACATTCTCCTCATCACGGAGCCTGTTTCCCTGCGCTGTGGTCGGCGTGGTCTCAGCTCTGCGTTTCCCAGCCCGTCTCCCCCTCGCACCTTGGCCAAGGGTTTCCTGGGCAAATCCGGGGGCATCTGCATGGGGTGGAATCAGAGACGGCCGACGGCCTGTGGGAGCCACCCTGGGGTGCTTGCCTTTGAAGCCCCCCACCCCGCGCTCTTTGTGCTGGCGAGGATCGGTGCCCGAGCCCCATTGCTGCTGGACGCTGTCCGGCCCCTCTCTCTTGGGCCCCCCGAGAAAGCCAAGGCTGGGGCTCAGCTAGGGGGAAGGTGGAACACGGCCAGAGCCTGGCGTCCAAGCATCCCCATCGCTGCCTCTGCAGAGCTGTGACGTTCTGAGAGGCAGAGTGCAGCGTGGCCCTGAAGTCAGAAGACCTGGGTTTGAATCCTGTCTTGGACACTTAGCAGGTGTGACCTTGAGTGAGTAAGTCATTTCATCTCCTGGAGAAAAGGGATGACGATAGCCCCTCTCTCCAGGGTCAGATGAGATAATGTGTGTGAACCCTGAGGACCGTACGGATGTCAGCTGGTGGCACTATCAAGGCAGCATGGCTGGTGGAAAGAAGGCTGGATTGAGTCACAGGTCCTGGGTTCGAATTCTCTCTGCCATTTAAAGCTTTGGGCAAATCCCTTCCCCTCTCTGGGCCTCAGTTGCTCATCTGTCAGAAGAGGAAGATCAACTTGGGGCTTGCCGCCTCCACGCCCCGCCCTCTACCCACTGGGTCAGCTACTGTGTTGCCTTAAATTTGACAGTTTTTTTTAATGTTTTTTTTTGCTAGGCAGTGGAGCTAAGTGACTTGCCCAGAGTCACACAGCTAGTAAGTGTCAAGTATCTGAGTCTGGATTTGAACTCGGGTTCTCCAGGGCTGGTGCTCTGTCCACTGCGCCACCTAGCTGCCCCGTCTTTTTTTAATTTGACGCTTCCATCCTCCTCTGCGTCTCGGTGAACTCGGATCCCACCTTCAGAGGCGCTGCCGGCTGATCTACACCCTTAAATGTGCGCTGCCCTCATCCTTCCTGGTTTAATTTCATCTCATTTCCCCCCATCCTCTGTCGAGGCCCGTTTTAAATGGATCTGGTCTCCTGGAAGTCCCTGCTGCCTTGTGAGGTCCTGCCCGGTCCTTTGGTGAGGGGAACTTTCCTTCCTAATTAATGACAAGAGAGTGGCAGAGGGCCGGCCAGCCTGCCAGAAAGGCGCCGGTTTAGGCCTGGCTGAATTGGGCCAGCCCGCCGGCGGCTTTCGTGTTGAGTTTCCTGGCGGGGGTAAGGGTCTCTGCGGGCTCCTCGTGAAGGGCCCTTTGTGTGAGGTTCAGCTTGGAACGCCCCAGTGCCTGCCGCCTCTCCCCAGGCCCACCCCCATCACAGACCCTTCCTGGTTGTCACAAGCTCCGCTCTCCAGACTCAGGTCATTCCCCTTTGGGGCCGCAGGGGGCTGGGAAACCACCCGTCATCTGTCATTCTCCCTCGCTGGAGCCCCGGGGCAGAAGGCGGGGTGGGGGGCTTGGGAGGCTTGGAGTGGGGGCCTGCAGTGGGTAGGGGGACGGGGTTCGTCTTGGTGGTCTGGCCCCAGGCCTCCTCCAGGGCAGTCTGAAGGACTTGCCGGGGGGCCTCTGGTCTCCCGGCCATCAAAGACGTCAGCCTGGCGGAAGGCGGCTTGGTTTGGTTTGGGGTTGTCCATGTCCTGGGCCGTAAGAGGAAGATCCTAGGGTCGCAGTGTGCTTTCGTGGTACATGCCGATCGGGAGTAGGGATTTCAGGAGAGAAGGACAGAGCTGGGAAGTGAATCCCTGGTTAAGAAAGTCGTGTCTGAAAACAGAACCTGGATTTCGGGACCGTGGCTTAAACAGTCGGAATGATGGGTTCTCGAGTGAGATGTACCTGATCAGTAATTAGCAGCACAAACACCGATTTGCCTGGAGTGCCAGTAGTGTTGATTAAGAGCTAGAAGGTTGACTAGTCCAGCTGTGACTCACCCAGAGTCACAGGGCTGGTGGGACTTGAACCCAAGCCTTCAGCATCTAGTCTGCCGTGTTGCCCTCCCCCTTGTGAATCTGATCCCCAGGGTTTGAAATGTTACACGTAAAGTAATTTACAGTCTCCCCCTTTCCCCCTTTTCTTTGTTTTGTTTTGTTTTTTAGTGAAGCAGTTGGGGTTAAGTGACTTGCCCAGAGCCACACAGCTAGGAAGTATTATGTGTCTGAGGCTGGATTTGAACTTTTCCCCTTTTCTTATTTATATGTTTGCATACGTTTAGTTGTTGGGAGGGATCACAGAAGGGAGAGGTGGATGGGAACAGATGGCAGAGTGAGGCATCTGGACCTGGAGTCAGGAAGACCTGAGATCGAATCCTGGCTCAGACACTATCTGTATGACTGCGGAAAAGACCAATGTTGGTCTGTAAAGCACTCTGTATCTAAATGCTGGCTGCTAGTGGGCCAGTATTCTTTGGAATGGGCGGCCAGGTGGCGCCATAGTGCACAGAGCGCCAGGCCTGAAGTCAGGAAGACTTCAGAACTTCCCGAGTTCAGATCTGGCCTCAGACCTTTCTAGCTGTGTGACCTTGGACAAGTCACTCCACCCTGTCTGCCTCAGTTCCCTCAGCTGTCAAATGAGCTGGAGAAGGAATGGGCAAACTGCTTCAGCATCTCTGCCAAGAAAACCCCGCAATGGGGTCACAGAAAATGACTGGACGACCATAAATCCTTTGGAGTGGGAGGCTCAGAACAGAAACCCTCAATAAATGTGAAGAAAGAGCCCTGCGTGGCTGCCCTGAGCAAAGCCAGGCCAGGCGACTTCCCAGTGCCACTGACCGTGTTTGTTTCTCAGTCGCCAAGGCGATGTCCGGCGTTCGCCGGCATCCTGCCGCTCTGGTCTCTCTGGCCGGTGAGTCATTGCTTTCTGGGAGCTCGTGGAAAACTGGAGAGGAGACACGGGCGTGGAGAGGGGCCTGTGTCCTGCCAGTGGGCTGCGCAGCCTTGGGGGCACATCCTTCCGGGCACGGGCAGCGATCACGACGCTGGACCCGACTTTGTGCACGGCTTTGCGTTTCCTCGCCTTGTACTTGGGCTGCATCTACTTGGACACGGACTTGTCAGCTCCTCGAGGTCAGGGCTGTCTCCGTCTTCGTGCTGGCACCCCCAGAGCCCGGCGTAGCGCCCAGCACATAGTAGGTGCTTTAGAAATCAAGAGCAGGCCGCTGACGAACCTCATTTCCTCTTTGTGACAAAGTTGTTAGTGGGCTGGTCGACCGGAAGAGTACTACCACCGTACAGAGTAGATGTAGAAATC